GGGGGGGGGACGCAAACATTGACAAATTATTTGTTCCAGAGTTGATTTAAAATAAAATAAGTTTGACTTGAGGAATAAAGAGAATGATAATTATTTTGGTTACTGAACAATGAGGAATGTGAATAAATATTGCTGAAAGAATGGTCATATAAAACATATGTGGGCTTCATACTCGTGCGTTAAGCAGTCACAGTGCCTACAAGTTATCACTATAGGCAGGTGGGCTTTATATAGAGGTGGTTACCAACACAGGTTTTACTCTACCCAGGGATGGCAGAAGAGTTTATACTGGCACTGTTCACAGAAATCTGAACATAAAACTTTGCATTCAACATAAACACATTGTTATGCTACATAAATACGCAATTTAAAACTTGTTATAAACACATTGAGCTACCATGTAATTTCAGTATTAAATTCAACAAAACGTACATTTTACTGACATAGTTATTAGTACCTGCTAGCGATAAATTAAATTTCTACAAAATCTAGTCAAATTCACTAACGACACATCTCTCTTTATAGCCCCAAATAGAAGACGTTGGAGGATACTTTTCCTACACCATAATAATGTTCAATTAAGCTTTCAGAAGATATGTGGTTTTAAAGGACTCTAGATTTTTACAATTAACATAGAGATGATAGTTGGTTTTTATGTAAATGTATTCACATTATATACTGTGGGCCAGCTTCAAGACAATCAAATCATGTGATCTCAATTAGCAATTACAGAGTTTTGATGAGTCAGTCAACAGCTGATCTTGACAGTTTGGCAATCAAGCTCATGTGTTTGAAATAGAGTTCATAGAAAGTGCATAAATTCTAGGCTATGCAAAGTTGGATACTGGTTCAAAAGTTATAATTTGGTGCAGAAAACATTGTTCAACAAAGCAGAAAATGCATATATACACAATAACTCAAGAGAACAAGTCATATTATTTTATATTTCATTATGTACAAAATGCACAATTTATTATCATTATTGTAAAGTAAATAAAGCTGCAAAATTAGCAAGTCTTTCTCTGTATTTCAACTTCTAAAAACATCGATAACCGACCATAAGAGCATCGAATAATCAGACCTGCCATTGTATCATATGCCCAGTCAGTTTTAATGCTTTAAATTCAGGGTTGACTGAAACCTCATTTTGATACAGAGTTATTGTTAATCAGTTTTTTTTTTCTTCTTAATTTGGGTTTGATAGTTTCTATATCGTGGGGAAAAAACCACATGGTATTAAAATTGCTACAAGTAAAGCAGTACTTCGACTATTGATCTTATCAAATCGTAGCTTACTTAGAATAAAAAAAAAAAGTTCACAAAGGCAAGCTTGGTCCATAATGTCTATAACTATAAATATAAAATGGTTGACGTAATGTCTGTACACAAATAAAAATGTCAAACCAGAATGATAAATTGGGATGGCTTCATATACTACCCTGGAAAACCATTAAGACCAGCACGACTGGAAGCTACATTGGACTGGACTATGTGTTACAGCACCCTCTCCAGGTGAGAATGATCAAAACACCATGTTCGTGAAAACTTGTTTCTCATCAATCACAGGATTCAATATTCATACGAGTAAACTTTTCACTTTTTTTGTCTTTAAATAAAATCATTCAATTGTACAGAATATAAATATCTATGATAAAAGTGAGTTTGACATGTATGTAAAGAAAGAAGGCGCAAAATCTAATGTATGAATGAAAGCCAGCTTTTTCTCAAATGAATTTTTACCCAGACCATTTTATCAATGTCTGCTGATATCTGGTAATAAAATTCTAGCTTTTAACAAAGTAAACCAAAAAAAAATTGACAAAGAGGTTGGGTTGCTGGAGTGAAAATGATTGGTTGGTTGGTTGGATAAAAATTTAAAGAAACTTGTATTTAAAAAATATAACAGCAGAATGGTTAAGTAAAAATGTACAATAAAAGCAAACTCAACTTACTCATTTACACAATAGGTGATTTTCCCTTCACTGAGCAAGGAATGCATGAAAGGCAGAAATCGAAATGTTATTTTGAACTTGAATTTCTGTTTATAGCTTAATGTAAAAATGCTGATCTTTCAGACAGGAATATGACGTTGAGATCCCTTACTTCATCAAAATTGATTATCTTCAAATATGTAATGTATGGCATATTATTAAGCATGGAAATACAACAAAAACACTTTTACGTTTTGTTGAATCTTACGCTGTGTTTTGACGCCACTACGTGCTATGACCTTTGTCCTGTTTTTACATTTGATTACATCCATAACGGTGGATCTCACGGTAAATGAAAATGGTTTATTATAAGAATTAGATATCCAAAGAACAATATTTAATACATGTTTTTTTTAAAAAATTGGTTTTCTAAAAAGGCAACCTCAGTATGAGTTTTTCAAGCAAAATTTAGTAAAGTAAAATTTTCTGCAAACACAAAATAGTCAAGCTTTCCCTTAAATTGAAAATTCTCTGATTGGTTCAAACACTGTAAAAAACATAAATGTAGACCAATCTGAGCACTGTTTACATAAAGGCAGTTGGATCACCATACTGTGGAACCAAGCATGCAATTTGAAAGCGGAAACAGCGACTGGCTGAAGCAATCACGTGATATTCAAATAGGGATTAACAAATTAACATAAGGTGAGATACTGATTACTGTAAAATACTTTATTTTAGCTGGAATTAATTTTCGCTGAATGTCTATTTTGGATGTTTTGTATGGAATTTATTTTCACTGATTTTTGACGAGTTGAATGTAAAATATAGGAAAAAAGGTATATTCGCTGGATTTTATTTTCACTGAATCATTCTTTCAGCGAAAAAAGCGAAAATTAATTCTAAGCGAAAATAAAGTATTCCACAGTACTTTATTTCAGTTAAAATTTATTATCACTGAAGACCGTTTATTTATTAATATAAAAACCATAGGGAAGAAAGTATTATTACTGGATTTCTTTTTTTAAATAAATAATAAATTTCAACTGAAAATAAAATATCTTACATCAAGTCTCTATTGTACAAGAGAAGCTCACGAATGTACATACTGAATCCTGTTTGAAGTAAAAAATACAAGTAAACAATCACATGGAAAACCATATTAGGAAAAACAATTTTTTCACTGATTTATTTCTTTCAGTGAAAATAAATTACCAGTGAAAATAATTGTAGTATTGGAATTTGCCGCAAAATGAACATTTTGTGCTGGGCCAGCCACGCTAAAAACAATGCAACCCTACTCTAAAAGTACATTTTTGTAGTTTCTGCACTCTGCAACACATTAATACATCATGGGATAAGCAGGTGTAAAAAAAAATAACAATATTTAAAGTCTGTGTCGAAAAGTGAATATGAATTTCTGAGTTTCTGTATAGGTCAATATTCAGCCTAATAGCACGATGACAGAAAAGCAAAGCAAGCACCTATGGCAGTGTAGATGAATTATAATTCCAATGTGAATTCTTCGTTCAAGCTGTTAACTATATGGTGAAATTTCCTCCAGTTAGTGTAATGATGAAAAATGTCCACCCATTAGATTGAGGGCAAGATCTTCAAGAACCTGACCTTTCAACAAAGTTGTCACAGTAAAGCGTACTCTGCTTCAAACAGATTTCACCTTTAAGCTGCTTGTCAATTGAATAAGTGAGCACCTCTAAGTTAAGGCAAATTTGTAAGCAGGCCATCTCTAATCTGATACAGATACCCAACCGTGTAGCTTTAAGCTTTGAGAACACATTAAAAATAAATAAAAATATATCAGTATCTTTTTAACAACGAAGTCATCACATTAACCATACATAATTTTGTTGAAATCTAAAAAGTCTTTTATTTACATAACCTGTCATGTTTTTTGTTTTTTTTTCGTTTGGTTTATGTATACTCTTAACCAACCCTTTAATAAATAAGTATGTCAACAAAGTCTCTAGATTAAGTCAGCATATTCACAGCTACTGTACAAATTCTTAAATCTCCTAAAGTTTGCTATGTCTTTACTCCAGTTAGTAAAAGTTCAAAAAAGTCCTGTTGGTACTTTGTTTACTCCACTGTAAATCCGCATGTTTCTTCCACGGCGCATACAAGTTTTTCGTAAAACTTCTCATAGTTTTCATATGGTGGAATGTCAATTCTGTTAAAGCTGCGAAGTGAGAAAAAGGAAAAAAACATTTCAAGAAAATTTTAAGGCAAGAGTTGCATGGTTATACAAAACCATCCATTCACTGAGATTTTGTGTGTTGCGTGAATGGCACAAATCTACCTCAAAAGTCAAATGATATGATTTTGAATTGCATTTTTGTAGTTTAATTTTGAAATGCCCATCTTTCAGACAGGAATCTTGTTACTTCATGAAAATTGACAATCAACAAATGTGTTTCCATATTATAAAGGGTGGAAATACAATGCTCTAACCTTTGCTTATCTTATTTCTAGGTTCAATTCCATGCACAACGCGTTATCTCGCAGTGAACAGAAAAATGGTCTATTGTACTGTCACAACAGTTGCCATGACAATATTAGCACGAGTTAACACTGTTGTCAAAGTGATGATCTTGTGATCAGATCATCCAGGAGTTCCATGATTGGCTAGACAGTTAACTATAACAGCCATTCAGGAGTGATCTTGTAAAAATTAACTCACCATGTATGTGCTTTTGGAAGTGCATCCGTTGGACCATCAATCTGGTGTATTGTAAATAGCCTTGGTCCTGCAGCACCAGTTGATCCTGTCAAAAAAGATGATAAATCACTACAAGGTTTTTCACACGTAGATATATCAATTCAAGCTGAATATCAAGTAGAATACGAATGTCAATTAAATAAACTCAACAATACGATTCAATCAACATAAAGTGGTTCAATTTATTTGTATTCTAAATCATTTTCTGCGTGGATAGCAATACACCCGGAAAAACTAAAATACTGTCAACTGTTTTTTTCTACTGGAAATTTTTTTTTTAATTTAAAGGCATCTATGAGAACCACATTTTTGCATAACATTTACAGTAATCATTCAATTTCAAACAAAAACCACAATGAATGTGGCACCTATAGTGGATTGTTTCTCAACACTCTGATTCTAGTGCTGACAGCCAAGAGCTGTGAGGCATGACAGTTCAACATTAAAAGTATCTTAACTTGCCTTGAAGTGCTTTGAAACCCTGCAATGGTACTTTAGAGGTGCCAGTCACAAACTGTAATAAACGAGCCCTTCTTTCTTCATCAAATGACTCCACGGCTCTCCAAAACCATTTAACAATATTACTGTCAGGTGTACAATGCTTTAGTCGTGTATGCGATTTCCAGTCGTTAACATCTATTTTGCCTAAACCACTGATTATTAACTAAAACAACAAAACAAAGAATGCATGAAATCTTCACATTAATAAGAGCCAGCGACATGAGACAGGCCAAGCTGGATAGGAGTCAACAAGAATGTTGCAAAAAATACACAAAAGCATACACACAAAGATCTTACAAAGACCATGCATATTATGTGGTACTGTGAAGTTAACTTTAATTGCACACTTGGGGTTCAGGGGAAACTGGTATAAAAGCACCATAAAACAATCACTTTATGAAATTTCAAACCAGCTCACGACAACAAATATTGCTAAATTTAGAAAATATGTTTTTTTGTGTGGAAAATCTCACCTCTAATTCTCGTTCATCAAACGCTCGTAAAAGATGAGGTGGTATAAGTTCCTCAAATCCTTTTTTAAGAGCTTGAAACTGAGCATCAATTCCTCTCATAAACCGCCACTGAACATATAATCTGAAAATCAACGTGATAAAAGTATGAGAGCCAAGTAGTTTAATATGATACAAAGTAAAGACATTACTCTGAAAATGGTTATCTAAAAGTGGATTATCCACTCATTATTACTTAAAAATGAAGCACCAGAAGGAGGTCATGAGGTTCTTCTGTAATATTGCATAGCAGAATTGTTTGTGCAGTGAAGTCAGCTTCACAAATGATGCATTAGTCGGCAAAATACCTTAATTGCAAAATGGTTAATTAGATTGTTAAAATTGCCGAGAATTGTTTTTATTTATCAAATAGTATTCTATTCTCTCTCGTCTTCAAGTCAACTGTCCGAATACCACGATTACATATATTGTAAATCAGTGGGTGTGATGTGAGAGAATCAAAATCTAGTAAAAGGACAAAAATAAGATCTTGGCAGCCATTATGTCTAAGGTCTATTCCATGTATGGTACAGTTATAATTATACAATTTGTTACGCAACTGACAACAATGTAGGAAATATGAGAAATATAATACACTGTAGCCTCGTTATAACGAACTCTTTGGGAGACACACAATTAGTTTGTTATAGTGAAATGTTCACTGTAATGAAGCACATAATACATTGGGTTTGTTGTGAGCGGGAGACACACTATGTGTTCATTATATCAGGAAATTCATTATAAAGGTGTTCATTATATTGAGGTTACAGTGTACTAGTATACCGACTACTCACCTGACATATTCTTTTTTGTTCTCTTCCGTCACAAGTATATCCTTGCCGTTTGCCTTGAGATCATAAGTTGTAATTTGTCCGAAGGCACTGTGCTCCACACAGAACGAGTTTTCTATAATACCAGTAATATCATTTTCTCTGTAGAATACAAAAATAGTTAGTCTTAAATCTTTAATCTAAAATTCCTGCTTCCTTGACCCCCTCAGTAGAAAAAAGGAATGCTCAAATTTGCAACTGCTGCTCGGCAACCTACCCGTAATTTGGCACAATAGCGAAATGTGCTTCAAATTAGCTAAAATGGCATGCAGTTATAAATTTGTTTATAACCTTTTCACCACCAGACTTTCTCGTCCAAATTCGTCTGCACTTTTTCCATATATCAATATTTCTGGAAATGAACCCTAATATAATTTGAGTCAATTTTCAGTTCTTTTTCAAAATTTGTCTATTTTTGTCCCTATCTACTGAAGGAGTATTTTGTGAATTTGTGATGAAAAGAGGGAACTGGTGGTGAGAAGGTTAAAGAGAAACAGCAAATTCAGTATCATCACAGCCTGTACATAGCAATGATAACAAAATCGTTTTCTAGGAAGTTAAGAAAAATTTCAAATGAATTGAGAATGAATTTATTCTTTACATAGAGAAAATTTATCGAATTACAGTACTTACAACATCCAAATGAGACTTTGGTAATGTTCGGGATCCACGTCTTCGATGTCATCTAAACTAACAGGTTTGCCTAGAAGTTGCTTGTAGAACGGCATAGTAAAACCACCATCAATGTAATGTCCGTGGAACACCGCCATACCGATAATACGACCAACAAAATGGAAGTAGGAGAGGTGATCCTGCAAATCATAGCAATGAAACAAACACTGTTTACAATAACAATAACACATCCTACGCAAAACTACTACGCTGTCAAGCACAGTTGTTATATGTAATCACACATGCAAAGCGATCCAATCATGGCTGGGCTCAAAGCAAGATTAAAACAGAGATGCATAACTAATTATAAAGATATGAACATGCATTGAATCTTAAAGTAATAGAAATGTAACGGAAACTCTTATTTTAGATGCTAAAAATGTTTTATATATCATAATTTGTGAGCATTTCTCTTGAGAAATGAACACCAGTTAAATTACATTCAGTGAATCAAAAGAAAGTTTACGAGAAATCGTTTGTGGGTGGCATTTCCGATGAGAAGGAGGAAATTGTCCTTACATGCCCTACTTAGACGTGTTTAAAAATAGTACAACAATGCAAGCGATAATTAATAGTCTTATAAAAGAGAAGTATCGTACTTATTACAGAATTCTTTGGCATTTTTACAAGATATCATATATGTAACACTAGAGGCTTCACTTCAGTTATGTAATTATTTATAGCAAAAAGGTAACAGAATCTGAGTAAGGGTCAAAATAGGGTCAATGACCCCCATACCCAAGGACATGAGAATACCCTTTAATACAAAGAGCTCTATCATCTTTTAACAAGCATAATGACACGTCTCGTCTGAATTTGTCGGTTAATTTTGTATCATGTGCAGTGCGTTTTCCTCAGGGTCTTCAAGCACTGTGGTACTGCCATGCGTAAATAATGCAAGACTTAAATTTTAACAATGTAAGTTATAGATGGAAATTATATTCTAATTGGTAAATGTGTTTTGGCTAAATTTGAAAGTTATATTTCCCAAAACTTACACCTACACAATTTTTATATATTTTTTTTAAATATTTTATCAGGACCTTTATTTAATGAAAAAACAAGCAGCCTCTCGGCTGAGATAGCTCTGCTCTTAGCAATGCACATTTCAATTAAGAACTGAAGATATCATTAGAAAATGAACAATATGTATAGTACATGTATTAAAGCAATCTGACTAGATATTTTTAACAAGAAGTCGAAAATATCACTTTTCACTAAAAATTACAAAAATATTCATCAAAATTAGTAAATTGAAGATATCATCACGAAATGAACAAATCTGAGAGAGGTCCACATGTAGTACCTATATATGTAATATCAAAGCAATCAGACTAGTGGTTTTTTTACAAGAAGTCGAAAATATCACTTTTTACCAAAAATCACAAAAATATTCATCAAAATTAGAGAATTGAAGATATCACCATGAAATGAACAAATCTGAGAGAGGTCCACATATAGTACCTATATATGTAATATCAAAGCAATTGGACTTGCGGTTTTTAACAAGAAGTCAAAAATATCACTTTTTACCAAAAATCACAAAAATATCCACCAAAAATAGAGAATTTGAGATTTTGACATGAAATGAACAAATCTGAGAAAGAACCATCCAAGGTACTTGCATATCAAATTTGAAAACATTCTGGCCTGTGGTTTTGAAGAAGTTGAAATTGTAAAGTTGATGTTGCTGCCGCCGCCGCCGACGGACAATCAGTAATATGAACAGCTCCGCTGTGTGGACTTTGTCGACAGCGGAGCTAAAAAAAGATCTATTTAGCCCCAAATTAACAAAATAATTACAGAAAAGATATACACAAATTTACAAAATGTTGACCCAGAAATTTGGTGGGGGAAAAAATGTCCTTTAAAAGTTTGTACTTACTGGATTAACTGCTGAATCTGGATTGATTTGAAGCGTATAGATGTCATCTCTTGAATACTGAAAAAGTCCATAATATGGATTCAACATCTCGTGCGATAGTAAATACAACCACTCTCTCGCTATGCCGCCATAATCCAAGCCTTCTTCACCGCGAAACTTAATCATTAACTTCTTGCGCAATTCTTTCGGTCTCATTTTCATTATCTGCCGATATGATTCCTGAAAAATAATAATATTTTGAAGAATCAAAAGATTAGACATAGAAAAACAAAACTGAGTTTCAAAAAAAAGGCATCTGTTATTTATTGTATTTCAATACTGTCGCAAAAATTGGGCTTTTTTTTATAAATTCCATGGAAATTAAACATTTTTTTTTTGTTTTCTCAAAAATTCTGACAACAAATCTTTTGAAAACCTTAGATGTGCACAATTTGAACTGAAGTGCACAATGGTCAGAAACTTGAAAATATTTATATTGATACAAACCAGATACAATACAAGTCTGGATCCGCCCCTGACTCTAAGGTACATACTGTAAAACCATTTATTTTCAGACATTTAATTTCACTATGTTGATGTTTTCAACAACGTATTTGATTAGTTCTATTGTTATTTTGCATAATCATGTGCATATAATTTTGCGGATTTTACTTATTAGCAAAATTAAGACTCAGCGAATAATTAATGTATTAATGCATATTCACTGTGTTTAATTTCACGAATCTGTCAAGGAAACAATGGGTTCTATTGTTATTTTACATGTTCATGTAGATTTAATTTAGCGGATTTTACTTATCAGCAAAATTAAAACACAATGAATAATTAATGAATTTACAGTACATGTACAAGTAGCAGAAACCCGGATATGATTATCAATTTACAAAAATAGAAACACGTATTAGGTCAATAAAGGCTGTGTTAATTATCTTACATATAAATCTGTATGGATGAATGGGGCAACTAGTCACACAATAAATATAGTCTTGTGAACTGTGTAAAGTACCAAGTAACCATGGTAACATAACAAATCCCAATCAGTTGAAGAGTATATGAAGTAGGCATCTGTCTAACACATGCATGTTACATCTATTGAAGGGTCAATAAATTCAAACCAAAATTATTTCATTGCTTTTTGAATTAGATTTCCAGCTGTAATCATGCACCAATTTTCACGCACTCAATCATTAAAACCGAACCACACGAGTTTTGATTACATATTCACGAGATGGGAATTGATAACACATGACTGCTTTAAAATGCAATGTTAGATGCTGAATAACTTGGAATTATCTGAAAATATAGCATAACAGAATGTGTAAAAATAAGACTTTCATTCACACTGGTTTCTGAAACCTTATTTTGATATAATAATAGATAATAACTGGATTTTAATTTCAAGAGATATTCTGTAGATAAGCAGCGCGTGTTCGAATTTCATATAAACAAACAATGTATTTTACACATATTGCACATGACACTATGGGTCTCATCTCGAACGCGACGCGAAGCGAAGTGACAATTATTGCACTTAAAGTTCAGGATTTTCTAAAAATAAGTCAACATGATCAATGCATAATTCAATTTAGCGAAGTGAAATAGGTCGTTAACAACAATTAAGTGTGTAAAACACTGTAAACTGCATTAATTTAACAAAAGAATTTAGTAACTACTGTAAAATGACTAATTTTCACTGGGTTTAAATTTCACTGATTTAGCATTTCAGGCATATTCAGTGGGTTTTAAATTCACTGTTTTATTATTTAGATAATTTATTCTATGTTCCATTTTACATATTCACTCTGTTTTAATTTAGCACATTTTCCTGTCAGCGAAATACACAAATTTAAAACCCAGTGAATAATTAACCCTTTTACAGTACTGTAAAACCTTTTATTTTCATTGACATTCAATTTCACTATTTTGATATTTTCAACAACATATTCACTGGATGCCATTGAAACAATTAGTTATTTTGCATATTCATGTGCATTTAATTTTGCGGATTTTACTTATTAGCAAAATTAAGACTCAGCGAATAATTAATGTATTTACAGTACTTATTCGACAGAATCCTGAAGTCAAATTTAGAAGTAACCCCTAAAATACAATGAAATGATGTTTGATTTAGTAATAAAATACCACAACCCTCAGACTAGCTCTTAATATTTCTGGATTTGCTGCAAAATTGATTTTACTATTTTTTTAATGGTGATTACAATAACTGGTAGGAGATATTCTGCAAATGATGCAAAGCGAGAATGCAACTTGTAATATATTTGCAATGGACTAATGAAACATACTATTCAAACTGCACATAATTGTAATGTTTGAAATTTCACAAAATTGTACACCAGGATAACTATTTTTTTTTTTAAATTTTACCAGCCATGCCAGAAAATTACCAGCCCTGCATTAAAGTTCATTTGAAATACTTTCGCTCACATTCCTTACCACCACAAGAACTCAAAAATTTGCGGGAACACAAAACGATTGATTTAAATTTTTCATTTTGAACTGTTGCATTCTTTGGTTCACAATTTTTGTTATCAACCATAAAAAAAGAATGGCATTCAACTTTACTTAATATTATTTATTAAAATTCGATGAACAAATTTTACTAGCCCATCATGGGTGCAAGTTTTAATTTTTACCAGCCTGACTGGAAAGTTACTAGCCTCTGGTAGGGGGAAAAGCAGACATTGTAAACAGCGACGTACATGATTCCATACATTTCATACAAGACATCCATAGATTGACAATGATGACTTTGTGTATCTGATCTTGTGTACATGAAACGTGGAGCTAATAATAACGTATCAATAACCAAAGTGACTGTCTGACATTTCATAAGGCAAGATAATGATCAAGGCTATGGACATCTGTCACAAACAGTTCATCATCTATACTCTAAAATTTCCAGTCTAATTTTAGAACAGTCTACAAAAGACCATTCTTTGAATGTTTCTTGTTAGGCATCTCAAATCACATACATGTACTGTGTTATTTTCCAGATTAAATATGTAACAACAAAAACTGTTAAGATTTGACTTAAGAATAACCAAATGAAAACGAAAATTAATTCCAGCTAAAATAAAGTATTCTACAGTATATTATTTTAGATAATTTAGCTAAATTTAAGATGTAATAGAGAGTATATTCCCAGAGCGAGATTATTGGCACTTCAACTAAATTAAGATTTTGTTAATTGATGCACTGAAATGGCATACAGCTATTTATAAGTGTTATTCAACAACAGTTTTTTAAGCATTTCGTTGTCGGACTTGTATATCACTCCCACTGCCACCCGACATTTACAAATAGGATTTATTTTATTAAAACTTAATATAACCAACAATGAAAAGCAAAGTAAAATTAGAGACAATTTCTCTATAATAAGCCTGTACTACGTATGACCTCAGAATAATGACCAAACATTTTCATAATTTGATTCTATTTAAGGCTATGAACTCCAAGTTTAAATTTTAATATAATTGCTCTTTAATGTAAGCCAGCAATAAATTTGTGTGCATAATAACAAAACTAAACATTGAAAAGTCAAGGCAAAAAAAAATGTATTTAATTCCTCGAGCTCTCAAAGTATGAGCCACAAAAGTAACAAGTATTGCCACCTGATTCGTTATCTCATGTTGAATTCTGTATTGATTTCTACATCCCTAAGTATTTAAATGCCTCATTTTAACTTTGAATACCCTACTGGCGACATAACGAGACAATTCCGTCTTACAACCAGTTAGCGGTAACTTGCTTTTGATTATTGATCGTAATCTGCTCGTCTCTTATTCCCTATTACACCTGCTGAATGGGGTATTTTTGACACCATAATAAGATCGGTGGAGCCAGACGCTATTACAGATGGCTCCAATGGGTTCGAGCATGATGACAGTGAACCTTCAAACTGTGAATAACCAATCAGTAGTTTACTGAGCCAACACATATTCAGATCAGATATACACAAAAACGCATTTATTTTGTTGTGAGATACATCAAAATTTGAAGGAGATACCGAAAGCATTGTTTCAGATGAAAAGAAATTTATAAATGTTCCAATTTCTACAGCATTTCAAAAACTGTTGTAATTTAAACACAGCTAGGAATATTCAAAATCTTTTCTTATGGACAATGTTTGTGTGAATCAAAAGCATAATGGGCAAAAAATTCTCCCTGTGAAAAATTGTCTTTGAAATATGAGTGCAGGGTCATGGGAAGGTCAGCTAATATTAGCATAGCATAATTTATCCATATTATGATACAATATCATGATCTGCATACAACTAAAATATATATGCACAGGGAATGTTAATTAGTTATTTCATCATTACTGATTTACTCTATTTTAAAATGAACTTTACTTTAAAACTTGCCATTTCACAGATTAATGTGAATAGGTATGAATTTCAAAATTGCACACAAATGTAAGGGGAATGTTTTTAAAATAATTCATAGCATTGGGTCAAAAGTTGCATGATAAAAGTGACTATTATCAACTCACCTCAAAAATTTCTTCCCTTGACACTTCTAGCCTGCAGTGCCCTGTCTGTGGCTGTAATGTCTGTAAATCTGTCCTTAAATTCTTTGTTTTTTGTACTAAATCTCTTTTATATTTTGGTGCCGGGCTTGAATCCTCAGTAATCCTGAAAATTACACAGAAAAAACAACACCTCAATAAAAATCCAATCAACGATATTTATAATAATAATTTTAGGATGAATGCAACTTACTTTGCAGCCATTTGGTTGATCACTTGTGATGACAATCTTGGGTCAGCAAACTGAGTTGTCCTATTGATATGATCCACAAAGTAAACCCTGCCAGTTGCGGTTGTTCTCATTTCCCAACCAGGTGGCATTGGTCCTAAGTCCTCAGAACTGATATTCGTCAGATCTCGAGGTACCCGTGGATCATGCCACGTGCTTACACCCGTCTGAATATGCAAATAATACACCTGGCCCTGTGCTGTTTTTCTTTGCTCTGAAATTGGATGAAGTAATGGTTAATGCAGTGTGACAAGATCTTGTCATGATAGATAGTGATTTGTAGCCCTTAAAATTCCTAGTAACTTTAGCAAAATTCATCCATGTCTTAATATGATATTTTTTCCCAATTGGTTTAACATTTTGCACAATTTTAGGTACGTAGTTGTCTTCAATTATTTTGTTATTTTTGAACCGAATGAACATCTAGCTACAGGTTTTGTTTACAAATTTTGAGTAAAATATATAAACTGGTATTTGTGTTTATTATGTAAAAAGTGAGTAAAGTTGAATAATAAAAACAAGGAAAAATTTTTAGCAGAAAAAATGCAACCATTTACATTGATTATTAGCAATGAGAGCACATGGCAAGCAATAAAACAATTTATCATTTTAAGTAATGGTAAATTTATATAACTCTGTTGGTATTTGTCAAAACCATGTTGGATTTGGAGTGGGCACTGGTGCAATGGCCAGATCTCAAGCTGACTAGGAATGATTTCAAACCATGAATTATTCTGTTTAAATGGCTATTATTTAAAAGCATGTCATTACTCACAGACATGTGTATGTTACAGTAGCACATTTCGATTTTCTGACAAATTTATGATTTTTCATTTCTCCCCATCTATGAAGTGGCCAAACCAGTTAGAAATTGGGTGGGAAAAACAATGTAGTATTAGCCAATGTGACTCAAACTATTGTATCATCCATGGAAGCCAAATGTTTCATTGTGATAAATCGGTTTTTACATAGATTGAACTGTAAAGAATCATTTACATATGAGGCGATACATTTGTCACCTTGTTAAACTAAAAAGTCACTAGGCCAATACCAAAATGCTCTGATATTGTGAGTCTTAAGCACAAGACCATACTTGGTCACTCAAATGCCATGCTTAAACCATCCTCGGAAATTTACCTGGACAGAACACTGATGATATTTCCAATCTTTGAAATTATAAGATTATTTTTAGTCACTGGAATGACTGTTAGTTCAAGAAAATGATTGAACCAAGTTTGAGAAATCATTTTGTAAGTATACAAATGAACAAATGCATAAAATTTTTCTATAATAATCTCAATATATAATACACACTACATACCATAACCTTCAGGTAGGTCCTCTTCAGAGTGTAAAGCTGTCCTATTCATAAAATTCCTAAGTCTTGTTGATCTTGATCTCCGCACTCCAGAACTGACCGCGCTACCAGACGACGATGACAACGCCGTCGTATGTGGGGCATTTTCCGCATTACTATTACTCCCTCCAGAGGCAGTTGAAGTGCCAGCTTGGTGAATATTGTCCAACGCCATTGAAGAGCTACCACTACTGTTTGTTATACTTTTACTATTGCGCCTATTTGAACTACTAGAAGTACTGTTACTGGCACGACTACTACTAATACTACTACTAGTGCTAACAAGACTAGTACTAGATGATTCATTTGCCGGTCTAGTGGGTCTTTCCCACTGTGTAGTCCGTGTTACATGGTTAATATACTGTACTCTTCCTGATGGTGTTTGCCTTCCCTCCCACCTGAAAGGGAAAAAAATAATACGTGAATCAAGAAATTTAAAATAGTAGTAAGGTCTGAATACTCTCATTTTTTTTTAAATTCCATCAGTGACTAACCTTTTTTTTATAATTGGAAGACTGTATTTGCGCTAATGGCAGTCTTTTGTAAATTGTTTTGATAGGGTATTTACATAAGCAGGAGCGATTCAAATAGAGCAAATAAGGTAACCCGGACATCATTTCAGTTGCTGACCTAAAATAAGGTCAAAGAAGAGACCAGACCCCCCCCCCCCCCTCCTATTTCATGACAAATACATATGCATTATTTTAATTATTATTTTAAAACAATGTGTAATAAATTATGTACACCATTAAATATTCCCCAGTGAAACTAGTATTTATTGCTTCCCATAGCTTTCTTCAGCCATAGCATAAAAACATTTTCTGTACAAAGCTATATACATACCTTACACGTTCTTGGTAACATATTGCACTCAGCACAGTCATATAAATTATAGCAAGCAGTGAAACATAAGTGACTAGAATGTTTTAGCATGTTTACCATATAATCCCACAAACAATCACAGACACGCCCAGGCTACATTAAATAACTACTCACCCCTCCGGTAATTCATTCGCCCCATTAAAAATAGCTGGTATAGTTGCTGGCACGCCCCGCGAATCAACAACCGTTGATAAAGAACCTCCCCTATCTCGAGACATTAAACTTATAACTACTTGTCCACGTACACTTTCGCCGTCATCTTGACTACTACGACACAAATCTAATTTTTGATCTGAAAGGAAGTGAAAATAGATGTTTAGTATCCAGGGAGAAAACAAATATTATAGAATGCTTTGAAGTGCAAGAGACAAAATATTGGCAAATTCGGTCTCTCTGAAAATTTCTTTCTAAATGCCAACTCACCAAAATTCCTAGCCTCAATTATTAGGTAGTTAATTTGAAACAAAGCTGGGGCATCAAGGGGAACACTGAATACCAGTGTTGTAGACTATAACACATGTAGGTAGATCTAACCTTCACTGAATTAATTTTTATATTCAAACATTATCGGTTGGACTTATTAGTTGAAAAAGCATGAACAACAATATAGACACAAATAATGGGACTACTTTCTATAGACAAGGAAGCACCCTAAACAGCAGAGGAATAACAACAGACGTTAACAGGCACCATGTCACTGTTGTGTCTGAGAGAACAATACATAACTACCCAAAATATCAGTGACATCAAGAGTATTGTTATGTTAAATGCACAGAAATGAAGTGTTTATTCCATGGTTCAGCAAGTATCGACAGTGAATCAGGGCAGGCATTCTTCAATATTCAAAGGCATTGTACGATATGTTTACATCATTCTAGACTTTTGTATGCAAATTAATAATGAAATCCTTTCAAGAATGCAGATTGCTCTTCTGGAAATAAAACAGTATGGCAAAAGCTGTGTTAATTACTTCCCTCATTACTTATTCTACTTTATGGAAATTGTACAAAGTATTCTCAAATGTAGAGTTCACACCAGAAAGACTAGCGGCGAATCTGTATACCAATTGTTATTGTAATATACCTATTGTTTATCAAAATTATACACTAGTGGGGCCACTAATCAGATATGTTGCAATTAATTTTATTGAGAATTTACCAATTCCAGTAATATAACAGAGGCTGTCTTCCAAATCCAATAGACTATGATATTTGATGAGTTGAATGTAAAATATAAGAAAAGGAATATTTTCACTGGAGTTTTTTTTCACTGAAGCGAAAATATGAAAATAAATTAAAAATAAAAAGTGCTTTATAGTAACTGCCTTCAATTGCTAATTGCTATGAATTGGTGAGTCATAAGTCTATATTATTTCTTTCATCCTGTCATGAATTTCAACACCATGTGGTCTAGACTATAAAATCTAGTTGTAAGAGTTAAGTTATCAATTGAGACAGACCACCACATTGAATGCTTGATGAAATACAGCAGCTGCAATATGAACGAGTGATGAAACGAAATGATGCAAGTTTCCCGATAGAGAATTATAAAGAAGCTTGTGAATGTTAGAGAGAAAATATTTACAAAAATTGATAGATCTTTAAGGCAGATTATTTTAAATTTGTTTGCAGCAGTAATTACAGATAAAATATTTTTGCCAGGTAAATTATATATTGATTTGCAAATAAGTTTACAATACAGTATTCTCTCTAGTAGAAGAACATGTAAACCAGGAATTTATTGTATACTATATCATTAACATACGATTTAATTTTACCACTGATACATTTATGTGATTGACCCATAGCAAATATGACACTGCTACATCACCAATTTTTTTATCTAAGAATTATGTAACCAAAATCTCTTTAACCAAATAACGTACAGATCACGTATAGTCACTCAAGAATATTAGTTTATTCTGGAATATTAATTAGATCTTGAATATTAACCACCTCGTTAACAGTGAATAGCACTAATGTCTCAAAACACGAGAGAATCCAACAGCTTGTTCTCATTGCAGAGAAACAGAGCTATCAACATAGCATTATAACACTGCAAAGTACAATGACTACTTTGTTCAGAAATCCAGGAGTCTGTACAGGGATTGCCCAGTATGATCCTTTTTACATATTTAGCTGATCCATCATCCAAGAGAGGTTAATAAGGGTCAGTATTGAGGAGTGAAGGCGAGAACAGGGTATTACAAAATGTATCAGTATTCTAGAAAACACGCCGAGTGAATTATACATGCCGTGGTCGAAGAAGTTAAAAGCATGTGCGAGTTCAACAATGAGCATCGAGACTGCAAATTTTGGAAAGCTTTTATTTGTTTATTAGAGCGTAAAGAGCAGATAATTGCATTTAAAATCTTGTTATCAGGTGGAAACAGTGGAAAATGATGTATGTTACTGTGCATTGATCAATTTATTAACAGCTTTAAAAGCACTCCAAGACTGTTTAAAATATCACTGGCTATGTATTCTGAAATGACATCATATACACTGCATTATTTAGCAGCGAGTGTTAATTTACAGTTAAGGGGTGAGCCATTTGAAAGGAGGGTGGAGCTATGTATTCTGAAATGACATCATGCACTGCATTATTTTGCAGCAAGTGTGAATTTAAAGTGCAGGGGCGAGCCATTTAAAAGGTGGGTGGGGCTGCAAAAAATATAGGGACATGCAATAAAGAAACATGTTTTTGACAAACAATGCAAAAGAAAAATCAGCATAATTGTTTCACTAACAATTAAGTGTGACGAGATTAAAATGACTATACTTACAACCAGTATCTTTCAGCCTCTGTATAGTGTTTGCTATTATTTTTACACAGCCAAGGAAACCAGCTCCTTGCTTTTTCTTATGAATCTTTCGATGATTCCAAATACTAATTGTTATACAATCATTTCTTCCAACAAATCTACAAGGAAAAAATTACATCATGAACAGAACATGTGTGATCTAATTGGCAACATAGCATAAAAAGCAGATGTGATAGAGGGATTGTGGCTAATACGAGCCACTCAACTGTTTGTTCATAACACATTGAAAGTGCCTGCTCCTATTTATTCACACCTTGAAGTGAATTAAATCAATCCATCCAGGTTTCAGATTGGTGAACATGCTGGATTTTAAAAAAGTGGTCATCATATTGGAATTCAATGGACGAAACCATGATGGGAATTGTATGTGCATGTGATGTTTGTGTGCATGATGCGAGTACAAAATGTGAAAACAAGGCATGTCTGATATATGGCTGATAACATATTAAAGTTTGAAAACAATCTGAAAGTTATAGGATTTATTATAATCACATGAAGAAAGTTTATGGCGAGGAATAACAAAGACGTAAATGAATGTATCAAACTAAAAATAGTGGTTCCAGTAACATTAAAATAAAGGCGCCATTTAACTAGAAAAGTGTTGTATTATTTGAATTTGTAACACCCTACTGATTCAGTAGATTCCTAGATTCATTGCACATCAAGAAGATTATTGTCTACAGGGGTATGCACAATTATTGGAGAAGTTGTTCACATACGTGACCAATATTGCTAATGTATGCTGATAATATGTAAAATACTTAAAATGATTCACCATTGCATTCTTATATGACAGACATGCATAATGGTTTGAAACCATTTGTAGTCAACCAGGAAAAAATGGTTAAGTAACCAAGCAGACACACACACAGATTCTGTAGATTGCTTTGATTTTTTGGAAGACAATTTGTCAAAAACAAATATTCATGATTTAAGGACAGACACATTTTTTAGTGGCAAACACCTTACAGACTTTCATGAAATTCTTCAAGTCAAGAAAATTAACATTTACACCAAAATTTTAGTCCAACATTTTACAAATTATTTATTTATTTTTCTGTAATTTTGAAATAATTGGACATTATTTTCTCTTAATAGCAGATCTTGATCAAAATTAATGAAAAAAAATAGACTTTCAATAGCACAAACAGAACAGATGTGACACTGTTTATTTGTAACCAGCTCAGAGTAATGCATACATCCTGTTTACAATACTTACAAGTCGTAATGTTGATTCCATTTAGGATCTAATGTTGCCCTGCATGTATCTGTAGTGTGGCACTGTCCAGAACCGTCAACTATTATTTTAGCAAATGGGTCAGGAAGTCCTGAGAGAGAGAAATAAAGAAACTGAAGTCAATACACATTAGTCAGTAAAAAGCTGCTTTCTTATAATTCTGAGTTGGAATTTCAAATCATATCCACATAAGCTAAGGAGTCGACCATTAGAAACTCCAGAGGGGGCCAGAATTTTGCAGAAGAAAAATTTTGAGGGAAAAAATCATGCAGGGATCAATAAAAAAATTCCTCATCATAGGGGGATAAAAAACAAGTGCTGAAAAGAAATATTTTGCACACTTTTTGAATAACCTCACTGAGTTTTTAATGGTCCACCCTTGAATGAAAAATAAAATGATACTGCAAAAGAATTAATTTCACCTTTTATTCAATTGTACTAAACATGTATAATCAAGTTCTATTGTAATTTAAACATGCACAATCACATATTTTAGCTAGGACAGATTAATACAGAAAATGACTGGTTCCATGGACAGGTGAAGGATTTTACATATTTACTAACATGCGAAATGGAGTTAATGTGTTACTGTTGGTATGTACATGCGCTTTCCTTGCCCTGATCAAAGAGGGTCATCAAATCTTTGCATCTCCAGGCTTTAGTAATTGTTGTTTAACTGGTATCAATACAATTTACATATACCAAGACAAATAACAATGACAAGATCAGAGTGAATGAGCACCATTGTGAACTATTTCTATTGTTTTGAATCATGATAACGCCCCCCCCTCCAGTTGAGAGAAGGGAATAAACCATATATGTATGTTATTGCTTAACCACCTTCCATCATTTCACATATTCATGCTGTATTTTATGTCAGTTATCTCAAAAACACTGTATTACCACCCAGTCCTTCTATCTTTCCATGAATGTCTGGTAATACATTGTGAAAACCTTGTTAATATTTATGGTTGTAGTTCAGTATTTTATCACCAACTAAAATGGCTCCTTTTTTTTTTTTTATGAGGCCATCAATTAAATTGATGAAAATATTATTGATTTCATAACATTACAGTATCCTTGCAAGACTCTTGTGAAGTAATCAATTCATGTACACATTTCCCCCTGTACAGTATTGGGAAAGTAGAATAGTACTTACTGAAAAAATCCCTCTTTGCAATATTCCTAGCACACAGAACTGCAAAGGAAAAACAAAAATTAGTTAGTGTGACACAATGCAAAGGTTCATTCCTATCGTACATGATACATTCTACGTAATTCGAATAGCCTTCATGAAGATTGCTCATTGGCCAAGGATTTCATTAGAAAAAAATTTGATGGAACAATGTATTTTTATGTATTAATTTTGGATCAAACGGACAAAATTTTCTAATGGCAACAGGTCTTGATAAAAAAATTACGAAAAAACGCGTGGGTTCAAAATTTTTGAATGGTGGTGAAAGTGGACTTTAGCACTCAGAGGGTTGTGAAAACAAACTCTAGCTCTTACTATGAAGTCTATAACTGCTTATGCAGTCACACAGACACATCTGATCCAATGCAATAGGCAACAACATACTACTCTGAATACAGTGAAGATCACAAGACAGTGACAGAATGCTTATTAAGCCTTCTAATCCCAATACATATACACTGACAGACAGAACACCCAAGTGTTCTCAATGTCTTTACACAGATATTGGAGTCAGCCTATGAGTATGTGTTGGCAGAGGAATGACATCTAGGAGACAGCAAGTAGACCCTGCTGGAATCAAGGCTTGGTGCACAATAACAGTTACATAATAGTAATCCCATAATGCCCCACATATGGAAAGGAAACCCAACAGCAGCACCTTGGAGACTTCCTGTGTTGTTTAACCAGGGAGGTACTTTTGAAAAGAATAGACTATTCATTGATAGCTAAAATAAAACAATAGGTGGGTTTAACATTTGACACCAAAGAAAGAGTGAATGGTTAATTACATGGATAAATAAGCATAGACTTGATAAACATAAGACTTCTAACTGAAGAAGGAAATCTTCCAAAATCCTGCTTTCATCTGGTTAAATTACTTCAATTACAAACCATTACTGTACCAATTACTTCTTTGAAAGCATGACATTTCCATACACTGCCCAGTAAATTAACAAAAATCAGACTAAGATTTAAATTTATTGTTAACCATTTTCAAATCTAAGGGATCAGACATGCTGACACACATCTAGGTCTTCTCAGTGACACTAGATTGATTTCACCATGGAGCTAGAAAGGGAAGAAGAGAGGACACTGTTTAATCCTGTTTTAAGCTATTGACATAGCATAGTTTTAGGCAGAATTAATCCTATTAAAAATAAGCCTTTTACACCATGATTGAGACCACATATTTACTTACTTAAGATACATTTCAAGATATTGCTGAATGGGAAAATATTTGTTGTCCATAAAAACGAATATGCAGAAGAAATAAACAATACATGTACGTGTTTTCTTCCAAGTGACGTCAGAGGTCATTCAGTGACCTTTGGCACTGGAAACAACACAGTCCTGGATACATTCTCAGCGAATTCATGGCCGTGTACTTGTCGTGCATGCGGGAAAGAACTCAATACTCAAAGGGAAATATTTTTCTCCCGACAATTTCTCTAAAAGATTTTAAAATTTGTATGGGTTGCTTGAAAACAGGCAGTTATAGTGAGATATTTCTTTTAATTGTGCGCCGATGTGCGTTTGTGAAAATCAAGTTTGAAATCACGATAGCGTTACCATTTTTTACGTTTCCATTGTTTGTCTAGACGATGTCAAACTTGGCTAAAAGATTTCGTTTTTACATGAAGGTAAAATAGGTGGTTTTTAATTATGGTTGGTGAATGTAGATGGATTATTTTTTAGGTCATCGAGTGTAGAGCGAGAAAATGTACAATTCATGACGATATTCTAGCAACTCTGTTCGTTTTTTTTTACTGTAAATCGTTTATTTTTTAAACACAAGTTGTTGCTTATCCGTGACCAATTTTATTAATTATAACATTTATGTGAGGAGAAGTTTTCACAATTGAATATTTCATTTCGCAGTAATTATATATTTTATGATAGCTACTTTACTTTGTTTTTAAAGTATAACATGAAAATAAAAATTCCTATTTCAAATAGCAATTTGATGTAGTTGATGAAGTCTCCGAACTTACTGTGAAGGGCTAATTATTCACTGGATTTTAATTTTGCCTATTTCGCACTAAATTACAACCCAGTGAATATATGTCTGAAATGGTAAATCAGTGAAATTTAAACCCAGTGAAAATTAGTCATACATTCAAGTCCACCAACAAAAGATTAATCCCTGTTAATCTTGTTATAATGAAGTGGTCAATACAAGTATCTAATGAGCAAATAAACTATAACTTTCATAGAACAGGCAGAAACAATGGTATATTTTCTCCTTCCCTTTCTAGCTTCATGATTTCACATACAGGACACATGAGAGCAATGTTTCAAAATTTTCAGTTTATAACAGAATACTAATAATATAATCAAAGAAGGTCTATTGACTGATTGATTGAAACCCATGTCAGTTTTAAGTAACCTAGGGGGTCAGTGGGCAGAAGTTTCAGCCACACAAATTTAACCATATAGATTAACCAACATTTGCCACCCGAGATTTTATATCTAAATTATATTTTAATGATTGAATTCTTGTAACTAATAATTTTCCGTTATGCCTATACATTTATATTTATCAATGTGTTATTTATATGTTACAAGTACAGACTATTTATTATATTCATTAATTCAGTTTCAGCCACACCATTCATTAATTGCAATGAATGTAAATGTGTCGTACTTGTAACATACGAGCTGTAAATACGTAAAAAAATATGCTGTACTTGCAACGTACTTGTTAATAAATATAACAAGCAGCCTCTCGGCTGAGATAGCTCCGCTGTTAGCAATGCACATTTCAATTAAAGAACAGAAGATATCATTAGAAAATTAACTATGTGCATAGTATCAAAGCAATTGGACTTGCAGTTTTTAACAAGAAGTCGAAAATATCACTTTTTACCAAAAATGACAAAAATATTCACCAAAATTAGAAAATTGGCGATATCATTACAAAATGAACAAAATTGAGAGTGGTCCACATGTAATACCTATATATGTAATATCAAAGCAATTAGACTTGCGTTTTTT